TTAGATGCCAGCATTCTGAAGCAGGGCACTTACTGTCTTGAATAAACTCATGAAATCCAGAGGTTATTGGGTTTCCTGTCTTCAAAGTGTGATTAAGTGTTTAAGCTAACAGGGTTTAAAAATCATTTCTGATCCTTTAACTTCTTAGTGAGCCTCAAGAAGTCATTCAAAACAATGATATCAGATTCAAAGTGAGTGCCCCTTCTGGTTCCTATATCTTTGCCAGCAGGGTTTTATATAAATAGAAACAAAAGGAAGTACATGTACTCAAAGTAACTAAGCATTTTTCCAAAGCTGCCTAATCAAACTACCAGTCAAAAGGCACAATCATTTGGTAAAAGTCATCACATTTAAAAGTTGACCTTACTTAAAGGCCTTATTTATTACATTTTAATCCTACAGGAAAGAGGCAAACAGTTCAAGATTTGTTTTAAGCATGTTTGAATAAGTTTTTGTTTTGCAAGCTACTTTTACTCTAAGGCAAGGTTTTTCAATCTTAGCAACTCCCAGAATTCCACAGTCAGCAAAATAAAATTCACATATTGAACCCTTCTGATACTCACTAGTGTCTTATGGATTCCATATTGATCCACAGACCAATTGCAGCTTAGTTATTAAGGATAAAATTAGTAATTGGGCTACAATGATTTCTGACCTTTTAATCTTTGTATAAGTTTCAAAATTAACAGAATATCCCCCATGTTCAAAGAACAATACCTGGCTTGTCAGGAAATATATAAACTAATTCAAGTAGACCACATCTTCCTAAATATGGTAGAAATATTAAGTTCCTTAAACTTGAGCAGATATTACAGATATTACCAGCTTCTTTTGTGATTCATTTAAATCAATTCCATTAGTCTACATGTTTCTATCACTAAAATGTTTCTAGTTGGTTCTGTGTACTATGCTACTATAAATAATATAGGACAAAAATAATCAAAAGACAATATCCCCTTCCAGAATGGATAAAAATAGTGAAGACCAACCTTCCTTATTTATACACTATAATATGCTATGATTTATATATTACAATAGCTAGATTCCAAATTCAGCATGAAACCCCAAATATGGCTTAACATAATTTAGGAATCCAGTCATTAACTAAATCAGGCAGATAACTACCATATGAAGGAGTCAAACATTAGGTTATCTAAGTACTTTTACAAACTTTTACAGAAAAAATGAGAAAAGAGAAGTTTGTCTTTACTTGTGAACAAAAACTCACTTGCTTTTTAAGAGCTTTGTAAATCTTTAATTTAAAATTTACATTACTTTTTTATCCTTACTTCCAGCTACTTGGTTACAAGTCTACCTCTTTTTCTATTATTGTTGTTGCTGAATGCACAGACAAATGTTTAGACTGGATTTGGCATTTTTATCCACCTATTGAGTCCTATGCTACCTTTTGTCAATGTAGATAGTATTCAAGCAGTTCTTTAGATGCATTATTAAAGTTGATTTTTTTTCAAAGAAAAAAATGTGGGAAAGACATTAGACATTAAAATATTGAACATTACATTAAGACTGAAAACTATATTGAAATTCTAGAGAATTATACATTTTATTTATAAGGGACTTCAGATACTACATAACTGCATGCCTACTTAAGTTTACAAATTAACATTAATGCATAAGACATACAAGGGCTTCACCAATCCAAATTTCTTTCCCCCCACAATACCCTGTAATTGGAGAAGGCTTTGTAAGCCGAGCCAATTAGTTTGCAACTCAACTACTTTTCCAGAAGAAACCTTTCACAAATAATTTTGCAGCATCTCCTTTGGAACTATAGGGAAAATAATTTTCCCACTGGTCAGAAATACTACCTCAGTTTGGTAATCAAAACTCAAAGTGGCACTGGCCCTCCCCAGTCTGTCTGTCTGTCTGTCTGTCTGTCTCTCTCTCTCTCTCTCTCTCTCTCTCTCACACACACACACACACACACACACACCCCTCAAACTTTCTGAGTTGATCATGGAATTACTTTTTGTGGTTTTCTGCAGAGTGAATTGTTTCTTTTTCACTATGAAAACAAACACAGCAAGAAACGCAGGGGAAGAGGTGGCATTTTCTCTCCTTCCCTGTTGGCCAGCTGAAGACACCACTGGTTACCTCATTCAGCTACAAAGTGAGGACCACCTGTAGTATAGTACAATTGTGAGGATCCTACTGGAAGTCACTATTCTTTATTATGTTCACTACTGCAGTACATCAGAATGCTTAAAAATGGTAAAGGAGATCTGAGTTAAGAATGTAACTGTCTCTTTAGGGTTTCCCTATATTGACAACATTAAGAAGTATAGACTTCAATTCCCAGAACTCTGGAAGTTGAATTCCTGGTGGTGTCTCATCATTGCCACCACTGGGCAACCTTGCTTCAGGAGAAAGGGCATTTCACTGGATGTGAAAGAAATGCAGACACTTTTCAGAAAAGCCAGAGAATTGCATATTTGACAATTTCTCTTAACTAGAAGCAAGTAAGCATATCCAAGCCACTTGTCTTAATCACACCTTTATCCATAACCTGGAGCATCACACAAAGCAGAGTTCCTCTTGCAGTTTGGTTCACAAGCTTGGTTTACAGCCCCCAAGCAAGTCACCTTGAAATAGTCTCTTTCTCCTACAATCTTTAGAAATTCCATACTTGGTTATAAAATTCTGCTGTGTTCCTCTGAGCTTTTCTGCATATGTTAAATGCATGGATGGGAGATAAAATATCAGTTAATTATAACCAGGTTCAATACAAACCCTGACTTGGCTATCATTGTGTTGAGTAAACCTGATCCTAATTAGCCTAGGTGAAAGAAAGCTGCACAAAAGCAGTTTGATGCAAGAATAGTATGGGGAACATGGACATTATCTTTATTTACAGCAGCACTTTCTAACTCAGAAACTTTCTCAGCTAAAAACTGTTCAGAGGGAGCCCAAATTGTCCAGAATCTTTATTAAGGACATCAGTGAAAAAGGGCGAAAGAGAACCTACAGGACCTGAATCACAGATCTTTCATTCTTTAAAGTTATCAGACAAGGACAATCAATTCTAAATTTGCTGGAAATTTTACCTGCTCAATTGTTTAGTGCGGTCATTGAACTCAATGAAGATAGTTTATTATTTTGCATACAGATTCTAACAGATAAAATGTTTCATACTCAGACCATAATTTCTTTGTAGCAGCCACCCTTCAAGGAAAAAAAAACCCCACTTTACAAGGAAAGCAGAAGTTTTGAACTCAACTTTTCTTTCTCAGATCCAAATTGAGACCCTCTTTTCAGCCTTTCTCACTAAAGCCATGAGAATATTTTAAGCGAATGACCAAAAGCCATCGAGAAAGAACCAATTACTAAGCCATGTGCACTTTTAGGATATCTAAGTTTGGCAGATGTGCTTTACAGGATAAAAGCTTTTAGAGAGGTCCAAGAGGAGGATGAAATCTGAACCACTTCTTGGCAACTGAGGGCAGCGCTTGGCTTCTTTGGGACCTTTCTGCCATTTAGGAAAAGGAAGAAGTGAAAGGGGCCTTCTACACTACACAATCACTACACACCCACTAATGTATGTCATCTCTCAAATGAGGCACGTTAGAGCAGGGGTCTCCAACCTTGGCAACTTTAAGCCTGGAGAACTTCAACTCCCAGAATGCCCCAGCCAGCTGGCTGGGGCATTCTGGG